TTAAATTGGAAAAATAAATATTTCTTGTAAAACCAAAAAAAAAGTTTAAAAAAAAATTAAAATAAAGTAAAGTAAAAAAACGAAAGGAATAAATTTTGGGAAAAAAAAAAAAAAAAACTTGCAAAATAAAAAAAGTGAAAAGGAAAAATCAATTCGTAAATAAAATATTACTTTTGTAAAACCAAAAAGAAAGTAAACAAAAAAAAACTGAGTAAAATACAAAAAGGAAAAAAAATTGGAAAAAAAAAAAAAAAAAAACTTTGCAAAATAAAAAAGTGAAAAGGAAAAATTCAATTCGAAAATAAATTTACTTTGTAAAACCAAAAAGAAAATTAAATATAAAAAAAAAAATAAACTTTGCAAGATAAAAAGTAAAGAAATTTAAATTCACTTTTGTTGAAGTTAAAAATAAAATTTATGTTTGGGAAAGGGAAAAAAAATAAAATAAAAATTAATAAATTAAACTAATAACTTAAAAAAGTAAGAATGAGATGAAAATTGAAAACAATTAAAAGTACTTTAATAATAAAAAAAATTAAACCGTGGGAAAATCTTACATTTAAAACAGCAGTGAATAAGTAATGATAAAAAGCCAAAAGAATCCTAGCCGTCGTGTAAAAACAAATGTGTGACGCGGTTTTCATGTCAAAGCGCATGCGCAGACTTCAGCCTATGTCATCATGGTGCAAAAACTCAAAGGACAAAGAGGTTTCAAATAACAAGTTGATAAGAGACAGGGTAGCCGAGCGGTTAAAGCGCTAGACTCCCATCAGATAGCGAGTTCGAACCCAGCGGTGGATTACTTTAAAATTCAGGGAAAATAATATTAATTTTCACAAAAATTCATTAAGGTAATAAGTAAAAATGATGTACTAAATAGTTAATAATAAAAAAGTTAAATTAATGACGTATTAAAAATTAATCAAATAACAAAATAATATATAATCACATGTCAAATAATTAAAATATAATAAATTAAAAGGATGTCATTCCAAACGTGGTTAAATAGTCATTGCCATATAAACATAAAAATAGTGTCGTTGCCACCAAAAAATAATCAACTTTGAAAGACGTTCCACAGAATCAAACGAAAACTTTGAGGATGTCATTCCGTCTACGTCATTCCTTCCTCTACGTCCATTTCCGCTTGTCACGAGATTCAAGATGGCGGCGACCACGCCCTTTTCTGTGACGTCACTTCCCTACAGTACCTCCGCTACTACTCACTACGTACATACGTCGTACAGACGTCACAAAAATTCTCTTAGAATTATTTTAAGCAGTTTTTTAGTTTTCTTTGGAGGAAGAGTCGTTATTCTGACCTTACGTACAGATATCATGCAAAACATCGTTAAATCATTCGAAAGCGGCCAAAGTGGATATTTCGTTGAATATGCTGCCTGAAGCTTTTCGGATTACATACTTCCTTTTTACTTCGTACAAGGAAGTAATAACAAAAGCGCAACCAGTTCCATCTTCATATCCGGAGCCGTCAGTGTATATATCAATCATACCAGTATTCATATAATCTTTATCGTACGGTATACCCTTGAAATCTTTTGGATGCATATTAATAAAATCTTTTCCTGTTAAGACGTTACCATTCAAAACATCACCATTTTCCCATGTTAAAATCTTTTTAAAATACATAATATATATAATAAGGTATTTCTCCCGCCTTTCTAGCGTGCCATCGTAGTGTAGTGGTTCTGCACGCTAGGCCGGTATTCCATAGGTCCGTGGTTTGATTTCCGGAGAAGGCGTTGCTTATTTTTCATCTTGCCTGCTTCCAAAAAAATCCTAATATCTCTACAATGTGCAAAGAATATGATTTTTAATAAATAAAGGTAATACAAAAAGCGTTTAAAAACGCCAGTTGGGAGTAATATACAATCTAAAAGGTTTCAGAGTTTTAGATTTTTGTTATCTTTATCTTTGTTCTTTCAAAGTTGGTTAAAAGCATATTAAACCTAAGTTTATTCATACAATTTAGTAAACTGCCAATCGCAGATTAGCATTACACTTGAAGAAATGTTATTTGGAAGCGGAACTCAGATCTTTCTTCTTTAGTCTAATCAACCAGTCGGGCCCGGTAAAGCGGCCGAGCGGTAAAGTCGCTGAACACTGGTAGTTCGGTCCGAGGTTCGAATCCCGCAAACGGGCTGGCTGCATCCGGTTTTTCGTTGGTTTTCCCCCTGTGTCCGTGTATACCGAGGCAGTTCCCCTTAGAAAGTCCTCCACGAAGGCATCGCCCCTTAGGCAGATAGCCCTCGAGGCTTTGCCGTAATTAAATAACCTAACCTAACCTGCAACAGTTGTACAGTTGAATTCAAGAAACAATGGTAGTTCTGTTCCAGTTCCATTGTCAGCGATTGAGATGAAATTTTCGGTGTTTCCTCATGAGCAACGCATTTTTATGTTTACCACTTCTCTTTTGCCTTATTTTAATTCTATGCACCGTGTTTCAGTTATGCAAAAAGCAACCAGGAAGACCCAAAACAATGTAAATGTAGTAAATTTTCTTACAAGTTTTGTTTGGACTTGTTATTAACTATAAATAGGGATTTATAGTTAATGTTATGTAATCTATCAGCTTAGTACTAACTCTAGACAATTACGACAAAATTTATAAGCTCGGAAAAATAAATTAAAGCACTAGTTACGACGTAGTATATTAATTAGTGATACTGCTAGTAGTTATCGTCACAGCTAAGATCTCGAACTCAATTTTTGGTTGCTTATTAAATCAACCAAAAACGCGTGATGATAAGTTAAACTTAAAATTCTTAAAAACGGTGCTTGCAGAAATTATTTAAAAAATTTGTGCCATTTTAAAAACAAACAATGTCGGGCACTTTTCCGTTTCGCCGGCGCAAATCTCGCCAAGCAGTCTTTATTGGCGACAGCATACAGTATACACATAAAAAATGTTAACAAATGTTAGTTCTAAGAATTTTTACTTCCTTGTACGAAGTAAAAAGGAAGTATTGTAATCGCGAAAAGTTTCAGGCAGCATATTTCAACGAAAATATCCATTTTAACCGCTATCGAATGCAATTTAACGATGTTTTTGCGTGATATCTGTACGTAAGGACAGAATAAAATACTCTTTTCCTTCAAAAAATTATAAAACTGCTTTAAAATAAATTCTGAAGAGATTTTTCGTGGCGTCTGTACGAACGTATGTACACGTATCTCGCATAACTCAAAAACGAGTAGCCTCAGAACGTTGAAATTTTGCATATATGGGACTGCTATAACATGTAGATGTGCACCCTCGTACTTTTGGTTGCAATCGGCCCGCACCAAACGTATATAAATATATTTATATATATATCCACTCTGTTTACCCGGCTCAGTGATCTCAGTTTCTTTGCTCTTATATGTTTGTAAATGGTACATTTTTTTGCTTTAAAAATGATTGAATTATGTTGTTTTTATCTTCCGGTTAAGGTTTTATGCCCTTTAGTAAATCTGTATGCAATATTTTAGAATTATCAAACAATTTTAAAGTTGTTTAAGTGCCGCTAAGCCAGTTTTATAATGGCGGCCATTGATGTTTACATTTGAAACAGCAGACTAGTGGATTTGTTGCCAATCTAGAGAAACTTAGCTTCGCAACAACAAAGGTAACGCATTCATTTATTATTGCCAATTAAATCATGCTTAATTCTTTCTGGAATTTTTTCGAGGAAATAAGCGTTTAAGATTTACTTCTTAATTTTTAATACAGATATTTTGAGTTTTTATGTATTTTTCCTTCTCGCGAAGTGAGAATTTAATTAATTAAATGAGAAATACTCAATCGTCTGTAAAAAAACTGTTTCTTTTTGTTTTGTTTACTTAATTTCTTTTATACATATTTCGAGCTTTATTATAGTATTTGAATAGAACATGTGGCAACGATTAGATAATTCTTTAAATGATATAAATTTTGTGCATTCTGAGTTATAATATGAACGAAATATAATACTGTTAAGTGAACCTAGCGCCAGAGTGTCGCTATGGTAAACAAAGTGAATTTTAAAGAAAGCATTTATTCTATTGTGGTTTATGCGCTGTCGGCGAAGTAGGTTTAATTCAATCTAATAAGTTTAAAAATGCAAGAAAAAATGCGTATAATTTAATTTTCCGTACAAGGAAGTCATGTGGTGTACACATCAGATTTTTTATTTTATAGGTCTAAACATTTTAATATGGTTTAAAATTTTGTAAAAAGCCAATAAATAAAGACAATAAATTTGTAAAAAGACATTAATTTAAAAATTTACAATGCTTTCACGGTTCAACATCCTGATTCGCCGGTTCGTATCACGTGACCCCAAGTGATCTTATCTCACGTAAACTACACTACAAAAATCTAATTCTCTCAGTAATTATCTACATTAATTTCAAGTTAAATCTTAATTTGAGATACTAGTTTAAACGCAAGAATTATTTCAATTCGTACGAATAGCTTACTCGGAAATTATGTAAAACCGCAGTGCTTTACTTCGCTAGTGCATTCTCATTAGATTGGATGAATTTAACCCTTGATTTTGCCTTTTCCATATTTTCGCCTTCGAGTGAGTGGTGTATTTGCATCCTAATTAATTACCGCGAATTGTCTTAGGGCATAAAATTTAACTAGTAAAAATTCTATGTAATTGTATGCCGGTATAACAATCAATTTGATTAGAACTGGCTGAGACTTGTTTAGAAAATGAAGCGTAAAAGGTTACCAGCGAGGATATTCCTTTTGGCATTAGTAGTACCATTATTGGCGACTTTATCGTTTGCGCTGGCGAAACGGAAAAGCACCCAATGTCGAAATAAAAATTCCTATTTTATCAATACAAAAATAAATAAATAAACCCTCCCTACATTTATCGAAGACTTCAAATGTGTTTGAACGAAAATCAGCCATCTCAGACCCTTTTGCCAGTTTCTTGAAACGTAACAATTTTCTTGTATTACTCTTTACCACACAACATATTTTTATGGTATTTTTGCAGGAAAATTGGGGATTCTGTCCCAGCGATAGCAGTGGCCTTTCTCATGTTCTTCTTGCCGTCGAACCCCAAAGATTTGAAAAGCCGTCGAATTCTGGAATGGAAGACGGCTCAGAGAAAATTGCCTTGGGGGGCCATCTTGCTCGTTGGGGGTGGCTTTGCACTGGCAGATGGAACTGAGGTAAAATGCTAAATCCAATTACGTCAAAACCCTTATTAACTAAGTAGAAAGCTTACAAGAGGGGAGTCTCAAAATCACAGGTATTCACGCTGTTTTCAGTGTAATATAATAGCCACCAGGTACACTGCGGGGGAAAAAAAAAATGGGACACTTTCTGTATCTCCCGTTCTGCTGGGCCGATTCAGAAAATTCACGTCACGTTTTTCATGTCTCGAAAGCGCGACTTAGGATATATATTAGATTTATATATTAGCATTGTTCTAGCATAGGTATTTTGACACAAAATCGGACTTTTTCTGAAATAACATGTCAATGTTTTTTCCATATTACGATTGTTCTATGACTCAATTTATGCCAAGATATTACATTTTGTTAAATTTGGTGCGAAATTTACGGAGAAATTCAAAACTTAATCTTGGCCCAATTTTTTTAGTTTTCGCCAAGAATGAACTTGGCGAAATTCTTAATAAGTGGCAACCAATTTCCCTTTCCCTTCCATTATTCAGGAGCGGAAGAAAAGGCACCTCGTTCCCACCTTTTTAAACATTATGCGTGAGCGGTAAAAAGTCCCATCGTTTCTACTTCCAAATAATGTTAGCAAAGTGTCGAAACCACATTTGATGCTTTATCGCTTTCAACAAATATGCCAAATTTCAAAACGCGCCAATGTATAAATTCACGTATATTTTCGGAAATTTTGAATAAAAAAAACTGTAATTTTTTCCAGGTATGCTTAAAAATACGTATACTTTTAAAGATGATGATAAAAATTTTATACATTATAATTAAAAAAGTTTTTTTGAAAAGATTATAAAAATTATTTAAAAATACAAGTTTTAAAAATAAATCGTAAAAAATGGGGGAATTTCATCTGGAATGATCCCGTATTTCGGAATGTGAAAGGAAGAATAAAATAAATTTTATAAAAAAAAAAAAGAGATTAATAAATATTTACCAAACTCAATTAACATTGAGGAGCTAATTTTTTAAAAAACTATTCTTGCGATTTTTGCAAAACTTGGCAGTATGGCGTAATTTGAGTAGTAGAATGGAAATATGGAAAACAATTGCTATGTTTTTTCAGAAAAAGTCCCATTTTGTGTCAAAATACCCATAGTAGAACAGTACTATATATAAATCTAATACATATGCTAAGTTGCGCTTTGGAAACATGAAAAACGCAAGTTGAATTTCGTTAATCGGCCCAGTAAAACGAGAGATATAATAGAAATTGTTCCACTCCCCCCCTTTTTTTGTCGCAGTGTACAGCTCACGTAAAAGTGTTTAGGCCAGTTACTGCAAAGCCAGCTTAAGTATCAACTAGAAAGCTTGAATAAAGGGGAGTTTCAAAGCTACAGTTTCCCCTATGTTTTCGACTACAAAGATTCATCCCTTCCTCTTGGACCCTGAAATAGCATCTCCACTCCATATAAAGTTTTAGTACAAGTTCCGCATTCGCCGTATTTGCTTATAAGGTCATTATTTAAATTAGCCAATCATTTAAAATTTCTGGCTTTACACCGTAACTTCTTTTTTCCGTTTCCTCACCAGAAATGTAAATAAGTTAGAAAGTATTTAAGCTGTGGCTTCTGTATTCTAAAGAGCCATTAACACTGGGATTTATCTGAACTAACGGAATCAGTCCATGTGCCGACTATCTCCGCTGTACGTGCAGTTCAGATTTTTCAACTCGCTGCGTTGGGGGGGGGATAAACTACTTTCAGAGCTTCGTCGTCTATGTCAATTGTCTCCGTTAGCTCAGATAAACTCCGGTGTGAACGGCACTTAAGATAGAGCGTGTTTCTGCTCCTCGTGTCCACATTAGGTAGTTCTGCCAGTGATAGATTTACATTTATTCGGCTTTGCGTGATCGCTACCGACAGTTTGATTTGTTACGCCGGTTAAAGTTTTAAAGCCAACTTCGATTTAAATTTAATTGTGTAGTTTTTTACAATAGTCTATGTTTAAAATTTGAAACTGACTTTTAAATTAGTTACATCGCCACAAGTGGCGCCATTTTGACCATTCGCGTCTTCTTGCTTAATTAGCCGGGATCTTAACTAAAAACTAATTTTGCCCTATGCTTTCCCTACATTTTTCACTTTCTTTCTTGGGTTTTCCCTATTACAGGGATTTGGCTACGTGCCAAATTCTTTTTTCTCGAATATCTACGGAACGGCACCGAGTTGAAATTCGAGACACGTATCCTCGGATTCCAAAAAATTATCCGAATCCATCGATACTATTCTCATCTTCGTACGACTTCAATCGCTCGAGACATAAATTAAAAACTGCCGAAACATTAATTTCCGCGCTCATTTTTCCGAGTGGCCACAATAAACTATGCAGAGTGTATATAAGTCTCTATAACAATAAACTTATGCAGAGACACACACTTTAGCCGCTTATTACGTATATAAAGAAGATGTTAAGTTCTTCCCTTAAATGATTCTGTTAGCACAAGAAGTGCGTTTATGTTTAAAGTTCTGTCCTAACAAAGAGGTTTTGTTAAAACATTTTCAACTCTCTGTAGTTACTTCAGATAGCGATAATTCGCTTTACATCTCTTAGGAGTTTGGAATTAGTTTATGTTTCCAAAGCAAGCTCCCGTGTCAAAAATACCTAAAGTCTCTGCAACTTTTCATAGCTAGTTTGAACTCCGTCGGTTAAGAACAGCTGAGCCAATCTAGTATATTTTCTAGAATCAAATACGAGTCATATTATTTTTCTTGTGGTAAATTTAACTGGTCTTACTTAATGAAGAAAAAGCCCATGAGTTTTATTATGCCAATGATTGCACCACGATTGCATTTGTCACTGGCAGGAGTTTTGAGCATCATATGGGTGACAGTTCGACTTTTCTCAGTTCTGTCCCGGTTCTGAAGGGAGTCATTCCCGGAGGACGACTCCAAGTGTCTTCCATCCTCTTCTCCTATCGACAAATCGTTGTAGAGAACTTCGGCTCGCCGTATATTTTGAGCAATTCCGTGCTTCACAGACAGTATACATTTACAAACATCCATGTCTTCGCCGCCCAGACGTTATAGTGGTTAGGGGAGTAAACCGCTGAGTTGGCTTCCGACCCGGGTTAGGGGAGCCTAGTTGCAATACCGAAGGGCCTGGGTGCGAATCCAGGAGAAGGTATCGATGTAAATTGTCTATCCCTTCATAGGAGGCAAAGGTGGTCCATCTGTTAGGTGCCTCCGTAATAAAGAGACCACCACAGCTGGCCTTAGGAGTGGCCAAAGGCGGCATAGGCAAGTGTCCGCCATTGAAAAAAAAACATCTATGTCTTCTCCGGGATTAGAAACCGGGAATTTCGTTGCCACAGACAGAGTCACTAACTACTTACGGGCTAAACGGCAAATACGATTCATAAACACACGAAGTCAAATGATAATTTTAAGGTGACTCATACACCTTAAAACCCATAAGATCTTCGAATAGGTGACTGTTGCAAGAATTGGGATAACTTATTTATTTTAAAAGCAATTACTTCCAACTTTTTACAGCCGACTACGTAATATAGCTGCTTTCTGAAATAGTCATCAGAAAGTTTGTGTTGCCACAAATATTTTTATAATTTAATCCGCTTTGTGACAACATTTTTCGTCATGTTTCCACCTTGCGCGCACAGTTTAAAATATTCTGTTGCATAATTTAATTCCATATTTAATATATAGCTTTTATAACATTTGGAAACTACTGTGAACCTAAAATTCTAAAAATTTCTTGTTAAATTATTATTTTATTTGGAGTTGAGGTTATAAAATGTATTTTATTAAAAAAATTTGTAATGTTTTCGTCCATAAAATTTTTCAGTATTCAAATATTTATCATACTTTTGGTTCAGTTAGAAAATAGTGCCCATATAAAGAATTCCATCCAATTTCAAGTATGTACATTCGCCATTTTTAAAATATCATGCGCTCAAGGTGGAAACGTGGCGAAATATTTTGTCACAAAGAGGATTAAATTACAAAAATATTTGTGGCAACACAAACTTTCCGGTTACTAGTTTCCAAAGCAGTTATATTATGTAGTTAGTTGTAAAAGTTTGGAAGTAAGTGCTTTTAAATTAATTAAATATCCCAATTCTTGCAACAGTCACATATTCGAAAATCATGAGGGGTTTAAGGTGTATGAGCCCCCTTAATTCTGAAAACACAGAAGACATTTCCATGCTTCCTTACACAACACACATCCCTCGAAAGTAACATTTTGTCGCTTGGCATATATTCTACGCTATATATTTTCTACTCCGCTGCTGTCACATCAAGACAGACTTATTGACGAAAGCGATTTGATCACAGATATCTCCTCGGTCTTTGAATGTGTGATGGCATAGATCAGCTGCATAAAATGAAGCAAAATTTCGATTAAATTTTTCCTGTAAACAGAAAATATCTCACAGAAAATAAGCTAATAAGAGATGGTTTCATAAAAGGGAAGCAGCAACCTTTGTTAGGCGTAGATTTTTAGCATAGAAGCTCTATCGATTTCGAGGACGAAGAAACTTCCTCTTCATCAGGAGCAAGATTCCTTGCTCCTGACGAAGAGGGACTTCGTTCTCTCTTGAAATCGATAAGTTTCTATGCTAAAAATCACAATATATATCCCAAGTCGCGCTTTCGAGACATGAAAAATGCAATTTGAATTTTGTCAACCAGCCGAGTAGAACGGGAGTCATAGAACTGTCCCATTTTTTTAATGTGCAGTGTACTTTAACAATTCCACTGTGCCACTGTTTAACAATCCCACCCAACCGGGATATTGGTTAGCGATGCTGATTGCCGTACCGAAGGGCCCGGGTTCGAATCCCGGAGAAGGCATGGATGTTTGTAAATGTAGTATAGTGTCTGTGCTCCATATGGGGGCACTCTAAATATATGGCGAGCCGAAAGTCCTTTCGAGAGGTTGGTGGTAGGGAAAGAAGGGTGGGTGAGCCTTTCTTACAGAGTTTCCATCATATTATTTTTTTCGGGGGGGAGCGGAACTGAGCAAAGTCTTACTTTCGCCTGTATGGTGCTCAAGCCTCTTGCCATCGGCAAACGCAATCTTGTTCTTCTTGCCACGATGTATGTATTTTGCGGAATTTTCCTTATGTTACTATCAGACAAGGGAGATAAGTTACAATAACAACAACCATTCCGTTCTTATTGCACTATATACAGAGGCTGTTCACACATTTTTTAGACGATGTATATTGTATTTACAAAACTAAATTACATAAAATTCTTGTGTTTTAAATGTTCTATTTGACATCCCTTATTCTGAACTATCTTTCGACACCGCAATTTCCAGGATAATAATGCCTTTTGAAGTGGCAGAAGAGATATTCTATCCCATTCCTCCCGAACAGCTTTCCAGAGTCCTGTTAGGGTTTTGGGACAACGTTTGGATAACGCAGTTTTTAAAAGTCCGAGGGCACAAAAATCCATAGGTGACACATTGGAAGATTGTCTAGGGATATCAGTGAAGGGTATGGACTTGATACCAGTTTTTTGTTCCATTTCTTTTAAGAAATTTACAGTGGATTTTGATGTGTGACTGCTAACTTTGTCCTGATGGAGTCTCACAGATGGGTGGCACTGTGGGTAAAGTGATGGTATTTCATTTAGAAAAATTCGCGATAAAATATGTTCCTGACAGTATTTGGAGTTAATCTTGACATTTTTTTTGCACTCTCTTTATTTTCAACTTGCCATTATCAGAAAATCCAGCAGCAATAATGAATCCCTTAGAAAAACTTTCTTACGATTCTTTGAACCATATACTTAAATTTCTCCCCCCCCCTTTATGATAATAAATGGCTCATTTTTTGTTACAATCATTTAAATACACTCATGCTTCATCTATTGCGACAGTTGTTTTTCATTTTGCTTTGGGTAAGTGTTTCTCATATAGAATTCTGCAGCGTGTCCTGCGTCGAGCGATATGCTTTGAAAGAAGACGATGCACATTGCGTTTTTTTCGCTTTCTTAAGATTTAAATCAACGTTTATCATTTGTTTACAGTGGACACCGAGCATTTGAATGATTTTGCAACTGTCCTTTAACTAAAGGGATTTTCTTTTAACATTAACCAACGTACTTTTGCAATAGTCGAAGATGTCCGTTTTTTCCTTGGATACTCGTTTGGAATTTTTGTCCCACTTGAGGCTCCAATTTGATGTTTTTTACTTTCTTGTTGATGCCTATCGACGCTTTAGATATCCCAAAACCATGACTCTCACATCGTTTTTGGATAACGGAGTATGCATATTTCTCTTCGGAAAGAGCGTCAATGTAGCCTTCGAACCACTGCTTTGTTAAATTCGCCATTTTGTATAAAAACAAAACTTTCAAGCCACAGACGATAATTTTGACTTTTAAAAACATAGTACAATTGGAATTACTTCTTTTGCAGCAAACAATGTTTTATTACCGCTTACCAAAATCGTCTACAAAGTGTGCGAACAGCCTCTGTACAATTACACTATAAATATTAGTTTTCGGGGCAGATTTTCCGTTAGTAAATTTACACAAATTTCTGCAGTTATATTTTTTTCGCTGTTAACCTGATATATGTGGGAAAAATTTCCGTAAGTATTACATTTTCTTCTTCATGTACGAGTTTGACATTGTCACATTATGAAACTTTCAGTATGTTATAAATTAAAGTGCCGTTACTTCGAAGTGATTCTTAGAATAGAAATATTTTGAGCATCGTTCAAACTAAGTTTCTTTTCATTCTTAGTGTGTTTGTGATTGTTTTCCCTCTGTTTTAGCTGATCATTCATTTTCCAATTTGTAAACATTTAACTATAGTTGCCCAGTGCAAAACACACATAAATTTTGAAATTTTGAATACTGATTTCCTTTCCAGAGATCTGGACTTTCAAAACTATTAGGGACTAAACTATGTGTTTTAGCTGCTATACCCCCTAGAGCTCTAGTAGCTGTCCTTTGCTTCACGACAGCTATGATCACAGAAATCCTTGCAAACACCACTGTAGCTACAATATTTATTCCTGTTTTCAACCAAATGGTAAGTTCTGATTTCGTAAAGAATAAATACTGATACAATAACACTGATGTTTTGTTTAAAAAATTTTATAATTTAAGCCTTGCTTTGTGTAAAAATTTTCAGTTTTTTTACTTCAGTTTTTTGTTTTAATCCTAGTACATGGCACACACAGGATTTGGCGACATTATGATGAACAGTAAACGCGATATTTATGATGCGCGCAGGAAACGCGTCATTTTGGTGTTGGCGATAATTTTCAAAATCGCGCCAAAGCCGTGCCGTATACAAGGATTTTACCAAATTTTTGTTTAATAATTTTAAATAAAATTGTTAAAGAAAATAGTATTGAAATCCATTTTCGAAAAGAGCTGTTAATTAAGTAACACTCCTCGGTAAACTGAAAATTTCCAGAATTTGCTTACGATGTTTAAATTGAAAAAAATGACCATTCCGATATCGGTACTTTTCCATTTCGCCGGCGTAAATCATGAAAAGTATAATCTATAAGTTGCATTTAGTTTTCTATGCTTAAGTTTCCTTCTTACTTTTTCAGCAAAAATTTATTAGTTAATAAAAAAATGTGAAAGTAAAAATTATCCTTCTTTACATCTTGCGCTAACAAAACATTATGGGAATATCCATTTACAATTATTAAAACCTGAAAAAAGCATATCTGCGATGTTATCGTCATGCGATGATTTGTAGATACTTTATTTTTTACCACGATATTTTCGACGACGATGTTTTTAAACTGCGAAGTTTTTGAACTGCTTTATTTTCGACGACGATATTTTGCACCGCGATGTTTTAGAACTGCGATGTTTTCTCTTTGCGATGTTTTCTCCCACGATGTTTTGTAGCTCGACGTTTTCGCCTTGCGTTGTTTTCTCCGCGACGTTTTCGTCCGCGATGTTTTTGCCGCGATGTTATCGGCGGACACCATTCGCAGCAACCTGTAAATCTTTCTGGGTGACAACATGGGAAAAAATACCCCTCTTCAACCTATACTATATTTTTCACTAGCTGCTGAAGAAATGTACAAAATACCAAACAATCGTCACATTCATTCAACACCAAACAACTAACCAAAACAAAAAAAAAAAAAAAATAAATAAATAAATAAATAAATAAAAAATAAAAAATAAATAAATAAATAAATAAATAACCAATCATGTCGTCGTTTGTGGAGCTTTTAATTAGCACTTACATGAGTATATAATTATGCTGAAACGCAGTAGGTCTATGAAGGAATATTTTCTTTAAAAAAATTTCTAAAGGTGAAAATGCAGGTATTAAGATAAAGTAGGTCATCAATAGTTTCTATGCATAGTACATTTAACCACCACATTAATATGCGAATCATAGAAACTGTAAATAAAATTATTAGATATATATGCTATCAAAAGGTCCCAGTATAGATTACACAACAGAGGAATTATAGTAGCCATAAAATCAGAATGAGCGAAATTAAAATTTAAAAAAAATATGCAAACCTTCTGTTTTATATTACGCTCAAAGAGGCGTTTATTTCGGCTAATAATATTTAACCCTTTGCGGCACAGTGTGTGCGGTATGAACACACCTAAAAATTTCCTTCTGTACGCACAGAAAAATTGAATGAAAAAGGATTTATAGGTTACTATAGGTTACTCTGAACCTTCTTTATTTATAGTAGATGGCAGCTCAACACAAACCAGTCCATATATTTTAGCTATGTTTAGTTTTTTAAGACCCTCATTTTTGAATGAGGGTCTTAAAAAATACAGAAACGTTTTCAAGTTTTTGTATTACTTAAGTAACTATTATTTTCAAGCTTTTTTACAAGTTTTTGTGTTATTCAAACATTAAGACAAAAACTATTTCAAGCAATATAGTTTCATTAATGCAAAAACATATTTTTTCTCATTTTGTTCCAAAAGAGGCGGATATTTTTAGGACATAAAAGGAATTGTTTGAAAAGAAATTTCTATTTCATTTTTTGGCTGTATGCTAATCTTCATATTCTATATTATTTTTAAAATTTTACCTTGAAATCTTGCCTAAAATCAAACAGCGAACCCTAGGTGTGGCCTGAATGGGCTCACCGATAATCTAGGACAACTGAGAGTCTGTATTCTTTTGTTTCTTCGCATCTCATCGGTCAGTTCATTGACAACAATGATCGTTTCAACACTCTCTTAGAAGCTCTATTCAATCAGTGTGCCCAAACCCACAGAATTAAAACGATAAGTGCTATCTTCACAAAATTTTACTTGTGTACTCCTCTAGGCCTAATTAGACTGCCTACTTTTTTAAAATCAAAACTCCGACTTTAAAAGGTAGCGTGACTGAAAGGGTAAAAAACAGCATATCTAAAATTACCGAAAAACAATCTCCGCGCGCTGGAGATAATTTTTTTTTCGTATAGTGTTGCCATTCCTCGCTTTGAAATCGTCAAGTTTGTTGATCAAACATTCGTTAAACTTTTCCTAAGTATGGAATAGATAATAAAACAAACTCGGAATTCTAAATTCGGGCTTCCAGGTGCTCGGTCTTCGTGCAGAGGAGTGCGTTATTTAAAAGTTGATGGCTCCAGGTACCGTTGTTTTTTCACAGTGCGAGAAACGCATTTATTCATGCAGATTCTTCATTATTTAATTTCTTAAAATATAATACAAAATTATAATGTCTATGACAACAGTTTGAAAAGTGATACAACGCAAAATGCCGTTTCGAGAATAATAGATCTTCTGGGCTAATGTCCCTTTGGACTAAAAATGTTAATAACATGTAATTCATTTTCAGTCTGTTTTCTACTTCCATTTTGTTTCTGAAACTGAACGTCATCAAAGACACAAGTCGTATTACAGTAAAAGATGCTAATATAACGGACGTCCGCAGATAATCCGAAGATTTGCCGAAGACAGGAGACAAATAATAGCATCAATAAATTCTTACTTAATTAGTTAAGGGTTACAAAATACAATATTTCATAAATACATACCATTAATATAAAAACAATTTCAAGCACTACAGTTTCATTAATGCAAAAACATATTTTTCTCATTTTGTTCCAAAGGAGGCAAGTGGCCCATTTCCGACTTATTTTCCATCTTTCTGAAAATGCTCTTGCTAATTATGTTATGAAAAGCATCACTTTTTCTTTTAAACTATTCGTGTGAAGCTTAAATTTATCTTAATTATAAGATTCTTGCATATTAAATTTAGAGTTTGTCCTTATTTTTGCAACTAATAAAGCCCTTTCTATGTTACAGGCTGTGTCTATTAACATAAATCCTCTGTTTCTATTGCTTCCGATAACTGTAGCTTGCTCTTATGCCTTTATGTTACCTGTAGCAACACCTCCAAACATCATTGCATTTGAAAGCGGTAATATGAGGATTACGGACATGGTAAGTCTAAAAAAAGGTATTTAATCGTATTAAGACTTAAAAATTGATATCAGCTTCACCTATATTTAATACTAGAAAGCGTGGCGGTCATACGAAATGCCTGCTATTCTAGATATAATAAGTTGTAATTAAAATGATTTGCGCAAAGGTGTCTGCTAATTCAAACTGACTTAGCTAGGGCAGGCGGCGAGGACGTCCCTTTGCTTACTGCCCCCACGGGGTTTCCCCTTTCTACTTGCTTAATTGCTTAAAGTAGAGTGCAATGAAAGAAACCATTTTTTTTCCTTTGAGAACATACAGACTCCCCGGGCACCACATATGTACAACACGGGGCTTACAGAAGTAAGTTAACTAAAACATTAAAAGTTACATGCATAAATAAAGCGAACAAAAGCAGAGAACAACAGTCTGGACTTCACGAAAACAGATAAGTTCACTGTCCAAGTCACTCCGAACATTTTCAAATCGTTCTGTAAGCATAATCTAGGGCCATCAAATGTAGGGCACGAGAAAATCAAATGTTTCACATCCTGAAGAACTCTTTTTGAACATTCACATAAATTGTTTGATCGTAGATTAAAATAAAACAGATAACTTGCAAATTTACCGTGACCAGATAAAAACTGAGACACTTTAAAATTTAACGAGAGGAAAGACTCGGAATTCAGTCTACGGTAAATAGAAGGAAGGAACTTTCTGGTGACTTCAGCATTACAAGATGAAATGTATTCCTCATTCCACCTAGCTAAAAGCTTTTTATAATGAAAGGACTTCCAGTAACTCTTTGGAATGCTAATGTTGATATCAATGGGTAAATTTAAGGCATCTTTAGCTAAGAAATCAGCTCTTTCATTTTCGTAGAAACCATGATGAGCACGCACATAAGCAAAGCAGATATCAATACCTCTAATTCTAAGTGAACTAACAGTTACTAGGGTTTCGATAACTAATTTATAGCAGCTGGTAATACTGTTCAAAAGTTGAAGAGAAGAAAGAGAATCAGAACAAATAAGGTACTTTGAGGACGTAGATCTTTCCATAATTTTTAAGGTCGCTTTGCAGAGGACCATCCATTACTTTTAATTTTACGTCCTTTCTTTCACGAACTCTTGAACAGGCAACATAAAGTTGACAGTGTTCAAATGCAGGCTCCGGTAAAAAAATGCCAACACGCTTAAGCGTTTGGCCCTAAGACTTATGGATGGTCATAAGCAAAGGCAAGTTTTAGAGGAAATTGTCTACGTCTCAATTGAAACGGCAACCCTGTGCCGTGGCAACTTCACCCCATTGGCTAATACAGTTACGCAAGCAACCAATAAACTATGGGCAACAAACAGAACTTAAGCCGCATATAATAAAGATATTTATTTATTTCATTTTATTTGTTTTTTCATCGTTGCCGGTTTTTGCCGGTTGCAAATTTCCGAATTCTATTACATATAAATGTTAAATTTATTTATTATATGTTAAATGCACGTGCTCTTGTATTTTTAATTTTTCCGGCTTAGTTTTCTCACAATATTCGTCACGCGCTGCACTGCACGGGGAATAAAACAATTTACAGTTACGCAAGCAACCAATAAACTATCGGCGATAAACACTTAACCCGCTTATACATATATATAGAAGAGCGTTAATGACATTTTTATCGCACTTATATATATATATATATATATATATGCACACAATCTGAATGCTCGCACTTCTAAGTGGTATATTTCTATCTGTTATATCATATGCAGATTTTGCTTTTAAATAGTTTCCGATGGACCTTATTAAAGGCTTTAGTATTTAGTTTACTCATGGTATTTTCCTGTAGTTTAATTCTCAAGGTTCTTTAATATACTGAAGGTTAGGCCAGGAAAGGAAAAAAGCATGCCACTTGGTTGCTGGTAGTGACGTCACCCGAGTGAGCCTGAGTGTCAGCCATGAGTGACAAGATACATCTGTCGACGCGTGTGCTGCATGATTTCAGTAATGGAAAAAATGTAAACTAAAGCAAAATGATCATTTTATATGTGGTATGTATAATCACATACTGGAAATACCGGGTATATACTTTCCGATTAAATATTTTGTCAAAGAAAATGTTTATTTTATGCATTCAGAATTCGTACGAATGCTGAAAATAATTGTAAACATTAAATTCCTTTTCGTTAAAGGAAAGCATTAGAAAATGAAAAACGTTATTTAAGTTAATTAAGGGAAATAAATATTGTAAAACAAGGTGTTTTTCAATATTTTTTGTAGTATTGTTTGCCCTAAATAATCTTGTTGAACAGAACACATGATGGCATAACTGCTAAGACCATGGTAAAAAACATAATCAAAAAGTATTATTCTATTTATTTTCATTGCTCATGCACTTTTTTTAATACAAATGAACTTTGACATTCCATGAGAAATATATGATCGTGATTTTCAGTTTAAATTACATATCTCAAGCAAAAATATATATAAAAAGATTTGACTTAACAAATTCATATTTAAATACCATAAAATTCTACAAATTTCTTAATATCCGTCATTATACTTTTAAATAGTATACTTATCACATTCTTTTTAAAGTGAAAAGTCACTTCAAAAAGTTCATACTGATTCACTTCAGATTTTAGCAGAAGTGCGTATATTTTTAGTATAATCTAAAAGTACTCTTATAATCCCTTACACTCCCAAGATTTCTATATAACATTTATCCTGACGTGATTATTTGCTATAGTAAATAATCTTCGATATTGGCATCCTATTCTTCCCTTCCATACATTAAAAATGGAACAATTAAAATACATTTTCTTACACAATACGCCCAATAATAATAATAATAAACTTGCCCTACATCTTAGTTTCGGCCACCAGCGGCCGAGCGGTAAAGTCGCTGAACACTGGTAGTTCGGTCGAATCCCGCGAACGGGCTGGCTGCATGGGTGTTTTTCGTGGTTTTCCTCATGTGTAACGTGTATACAAGCCAGTTTCCCTGAGAAAGTCCTCCACGAAGGCATCACACCTATTACGCAGATAGCCCCTAGTGTGCTTTGCCGTAATTAAATACACCACCACATCTTAATTTCAATTCAAGCCTGTACATAAATTAAATATTTTAATTACTAATGTATTTTTATCAGGTGTGTTTCTTAAAATCCTTTGTTTATACTCGAAATATGCGTTCATATGAATTATTTTTCTTTCTCTTATAATTAAAAATAAGTTATATGGAATCAAAATTAAAACATATGCAGCAGTTAAATAAAACTGAACAGAATATCTTACTTACTCTTTCGCTATTTGTATTGTAGCATTATACACAGATTTGTTTTCCTTCAGGTTCAAGCATGTGTAAGTTATATCAATTAAATTACATCACACATACCTGTATGCATCACACTTAAATAACACTGAAGGAAATATGTCACTCACTCATTCGATGTTTGCATCATAGTGTGGTCGAGAAATTGTTCTTTCCTCACGGTGAGGCATGTATCAGTTTACTTAGTTCGCAAAGCTTAACCCAGACGCTGCTTTTTACTTTCAAGCAACATTCTTGTTATAACATTTTTATTGCATTTAATTTCCGAAAGTGAATATTCCAAGGGATCCTTTTATTCTCTGAATGTCTTTCAGTTGTTTTTCTTTATTTCGCAACTTTCTTATGATTTTTTTCTTGAGTTTTAACAATGACTAAAAATTTCATCATCGATGATATGCAACTGAGACTAAAAAATATAAAATACATTTAGAAAAAGTTTATGTAGAATAAGCTTTGTTTTAATAAAATGGATATGATAATTAATGCTCTAAAAGGAGAAAAATAATTCATAATTAAATAATGAAATCTATTAATTTAATTTCATTGTCAAGTATATAAACCATTAGCATTTAAAATTTTCTATTAATTTAATTGTATTATCAAATGTTCATTATCTTTTTTAAGTCATTATCTTTTTTTAATTTATGAGTGCCCCACGTATTTATTATTCCTAGTATAAAACTGTAGATGTATTCTCTAAATAGAATTATTTAATTTATTACTCTCATTAAACTGTATCAAATTATTTTCTCCTTTTAGAACACTGATGATGACATCCATCTGAAATAAAAGTACAGTAAGACACCGCTTAACGCTGTTTCGTTTAGCCCTGTTTCGGTTTAGCGCTCTTTTATTTCAACCCGGGGATTCTCCGAAATTGTGAACAGCGCTAGGTTTCCAAATAACATATCCGAAACAGTGTAGTTGTGTTTCTTGCTCGGTGGACGCATTTTTATCATTTGAAACAACATTTGTTGACATTATTGTAAGTTTGTATAATACTATAACGATTAATACAGTGACAAATATTATGATCTTTAGTTTTTATCATGGGTGATAATAAAAACAAGAAAAAAAAAGCAACCAGAAAAAAGCATTTCACTGGAAACTCAAATGCAAGTGATTAGAAGATTAGATTCTGGTGAACGTCAATCTCAAATTAGCGCTGCATTGATTTTTTGGCAACTTCAACAATAAGGACAATCTTAAGAATAAAGAAAAAATACTGTCATCGGCAACTGCAACTACGTCAAGCTCTGCAACTAGAATTACCCCCGTTCTAGAAATAACATTACAGAGGAAATGGAAAAAAAAACGACTGTCTATATGGATTGACGACGAAATTGAACGCAATATGCCATTAAGCCAATCTATCATAATGCCTTCTCAACAAAAAGGCAGAAAATTGGAAACCCAGAATAGACTGAATGATCTGACTGAGAATTTTATTTGTTTTTAAAAGTATATGCGTTTATATTGTTTTTATTTTTGTAAGAAATAAATATGTTTGATTTATTTTTATTAAAAAAACATTATTAAATTTAATGCCTAACCATTTTTTATCCGTCTTCCCCTAACCCCATTATTTACATGTTAAGATAGCCTCGCTTAGCGCTGTTTCGCATTACGCTCTACTTCGATGGAACGTATCCCCCGCGTTAAGCGGGGTCTTACTGTATTATGTAAAAACCTTTTT